AAGGTGTGGCCACAACTTTAGAATGTTTTATGTACTTCCTTTAACACAAAAGAGTTTATAATGGGTTCGATCCTTATTTATCTCCATACTTAAATAATCTTTATTATATCTACAACCTTCACTTGAAATTCAGTATCAAGTAGTAACTTTAACAATTTGACATCAACTATGTCTCGAGATACCATCAATATATCATATATATATATATATATATATATATATATATATATATATATATTCATAAGTTAAATAATACCATAAAAAAATATCATATCATTTAAAAGGGTGTTCCAATAGGTGTTTGAAATCCCCTTAAGAAATCAGTTTCATGTTTGGTTTTATTTATTTTAGAGAAATAAATGTACATTTTTGGCACCTTTCTTTTCTGAAAAATAATGAAAAAAGATATTCCCATATGGGCACTTGATGTTGGAAAATATAATTTGGCTTACTTTTAAATGTAGTATTGTAAAAAAAATCTTGTTTGTTTGTCTACTTTCTGAACCATTTTGGTTGGAATTGTAAAAAGTCTTTTCATGTAATTTTTTTATTGAAGTAGGCATACCCTAAGAGATTAATAATATAAGAGAACACATAAATTACATTTTACAACAACAAAAATTAGTTGAAGAGATGAAATTAAAACTATCCACCTAAACAATCTTATCTTATGAAGAAAAAGAGTGAAAAGAAATGAAAAAGGAAAAGGAAACTTCTTCGAATTAAAGGATGAAGATTGAGGGCTGGAAATAGTCAATGAAGAAGGACAAAGTCAATAAGTCAATCATGAGAGGACAGTTAGGCAAAAACAACTTTGGAGTGTCAACCGGTGTGGGACTTTGACGGTGAATACTTCCAAAGGCATTGTTTCCTAACTATGCCTTTTATAATTAATGCTCACTCCATTCTTTGAAATTTTCAATTCCTTCACTCTTCTTAAACTTCAATTATTGTTTTGCCAATACCAATTTCCTTCAACATGTCTACACCAGCAGAGTACTCTCTCTCTCTCTCTCTCTTTCAATTTTTCTTTCTCCTAACTCAAGCATGAAGAATTAAAAATGGCAGCTGATCATATAATCTAAACATAGAATTTTCTTTTATTTCACATGACATATGCATGGTCAACTCAACTTCTATGCTTATGTATTGTACTATATATTATTCACATGCTTAAATCTCATCTTAATCATGTTTAATTCTTTATCTTAGTTGTATCTTATAATAGCAAGATTGGTACCAAGTATTTTTCTGAGAGAATGATGAAAACAGTAATTGATTAATATTGTTCCTCTGCTGTTTCAGATACTATCGATCTCTTCCACCTGTGAGCAAGATCTATGGAGTGGCCTGTTTGATGACCACTTCTGCATTTTATCTGCAGCTCTATGATGCATGGAACATAGCACTTGTTTATGGACCAGTGTTTAAACGCCTTCAGGTTTTGTAATCCAAAAACTGCTCTAAATTCTCATCAGCAGCTATAGGATATGTGAATTTACTTTTCTTAGTGTGCATGATTTTTTATACTCTTCTTGTCATATAAACATGTTTGTTAACTTCTCTAGTAATTACTTCAAAAGTCAAACTTAAAATGGTTTATGAATATTTCACATAGCAAAAATCTCTAAAGTGATGTTGTATAAAAATTAAAATCTAGATGTTTATGTACGATCTTGAAATATTTCAGAATTATATCTGAGATATACTTTTCATTTTCAGCTAGCACTTAAACCTAATTAAGTATTGTGGATAAAAAATCCAAAAGGTGAATCTAATTCATAATAATCTAAATTTAAATATTTTAAGTCTACCTAAATGGATTTATCCTAAACTTAAATCCATATTTTTTTTACTTTAAGTTCAATCTACTTAATTAGATTTAGAAATTGATTTGGATCAAAGGTGGAAATAAGTCGATCTTTATCAAAGGTAGAATGAGTTATCATGAATACAGAGTCAAGCCAAATAGTTAAGTATATATTAATAGATTTAATTTAATTAAAAAGGTGGATTCCATTTCAAATTGGATTGAGAAAAATCTAAATAGGATTGATCAGTGATTTAGATTATAGATCCAATCTATTTTATGAAATCTAGACTGATTATAGATTGGATTTTGAAAATACAATTCATGATCGTCCTTGATATTAAGCTAGTTATGAACTTTTAAGTTATAAACACTTAGTAAAGAAGAATAAGAGTAATTTGGATAAACTGTTCACCAATTTCTTTGCCATATTTGCTTATATATTTTTAGGTTTGGAGGCTTATCACAAATTTCTTCTTTCTTGGGCCGTTTTCGTTTCCATTTGCTGTTCGTCTGATAATGATGTAAGCTACTAATTATGCAACTTTTTACATTTGACTCAGCCATTGTAAGATGGTTTGAATGATAGAGTTATTGTTATTGTTTGAATGTATGCAGAGCAAAGTATGGTGTTTCATTGGAAAGAGGACCCTTTGACAAGAGAACTGCAGATTATGTTTGGATGTTCATATTTGGTGCACTCTCTCTTCTGGTATATCTGTGTTACTCTTGATTTTCAGTTATACAAATGAAACATGCTCCATAATTTTGCAACACAAACGAGATTTAGATATGTTTTTCATCCTAAAAAAACATTAAGTGACAAATTTATGGTCCTCTAAGGTGATTTCAGCAGTGCCATATTTCCGGTATCCATTCTTGGGAGTTTCGTTAGTTTTCATGATCGTCTATGTTTGGAGCCGCGAGTTTCCAAATGCACGAATCAACATTTATGGTGTCGTATCATTGAAGGTACTATCAAATTCCATTCTTCCATGTTTCATAATATCATCGTCACATAAAAATGTTGTTGTTTCAGGTTTAGAAAAAAACATGAAATTAGTTTTTTATTAAGTTACATTTATTTTATTAAAAAAATTATATACATATATATTACTATTTTTAGAAAATATTTTTTCTTTCATTTATGAATAAATTAAGTCTAACATATAAAAACGGTCTTTTGTTTTTTTTTTTCTCTATAATTCTTGCATAAAGTAGCATTTTTCGTTGTTTAGCAACTCAGCTTATATTAACACTTTTAACCTATTGATAACACTTATGAGTAGTTTTGTGTTAGAATTAGTATACTATTGATAATGACTTTTATTTTTTAATATATATGCAGGGATTTTACCTTCCATGGGCTTTGCTTGCTCTGGATTTAATATTTGGAAGTCCTATAAAACCAGACATCTTAGGTATGCTTGCAGGACACATGTATTACTTCTTAACAGTGCTTCATCCTCTTGCTGGGGGAAACTTCAAATTCAAAACCCCTCTTTGGGTGTATCCTTTTATCTTATCAGCTTCCTATTTTTTTTTATTTTTTTATTTTTTAGTAAATCTAATAGTGGCTTCAGAGTTAAGCTAAGTAGTTATTTAAATATATATTTTTTTAGAAACATACTGTAAAATTATTTCAGACTTTAAAACAAATAACAAATAATATTTCGGATTTGATGATGAAAATGATATTGCATCAAAACACTTAGGATTGGAACATTTAGTATGACAAGTTTCCTTTTATACTATTATCTTGACATCCAACAAATTTTTACACACTTCACATCCACTATTTTTTTAATCTCTCATTTTTTAAAAATGCAAAAGTTGATTTTTTTAATGAGCAAAATACTATTAAAAAGATGAGTGATGTAAAAAAAACATTTTTTATACATATCATAGTCTAAATTTGGTGGAATCTTGTGATTCTTAATTATGTATAATATCAGTCACAGAATAGTAGCATATTGGGGAGAGGGTACACAGATAAATTCTCCTGTGCAATCTGATCCTTCTGCTGGAATTGTATTTAAAGGAAGAGGCCATCGTCTTGGTGGCACTCAAAGAACAGCAGCAAGAGACACTGCAGAGCAAACTGAAGGAAATGTTTCTGCTTCCTCACATCAGCAACAGACTCAGAGTAATGGAGTTGCTTTTAGAGGAAAGAGTCATCGTTTAAATGGATGACTTTGTAACATCATTTCTCTCTCACTATCATCCTCTTTCTCTGTAATTTTTATTTAACTATTTCCTGCATGTTATGTCTTTCATCCTAAATTTTGAAACCAACCTTGTTACAGATATTTTTATGTTTTTATGTTAGTATGATCATCTAGACTTTCTGTTTGACGTTAGTGTCTTCTTGTTGTCCATAATTGAATATAGAGTTAATATGTTTTTAGTTTAATTGAAATTCAAATTTACTCCTGATTCATACTTTCCTACATTTTAGAATATTAAATGATTTTATTATATTATTAAATTAAAAGAAGTAAAACGTTGTGGAGAAGGAAAGGGGTTGTCTCAAATCTTCAAAAGTCTAGGCAAGCATTAAGAGTTTTATGTTTTCTTTCCTACTTCTCCTATAAGCTGACATTTTCCATTATCTTCTTCAAGATTGAAGCAATAAAGACAATCTTTGCATCAAGCTTTACCATATGCTATTATCGTCTTCAAGAGTGAAGCAATAAAGACAATTTTTGCATCAAGCTTTACCATATGCTATTATCAGTATATCTGTAGGTAAGTGTAATTTGCACTTTGCTAGGAACCTTTCCGATTTCTAATGCATGCAAAAAAAAAAAAATGGTTACATGTGATTTCTTAATGCTCTAGATGACCCTCATTCTATGGAGATTATATGGAGCTGTAATTTAATCCTCATTAGGTTTGTTGTTTAAGTCAAGCTTAAATAATATGGTGGTTTTTTTTGTGTTATGAAATTGTTGAATATTTTGTTGTCGAAATTAAATTTGGGAATTTTTGTGTTATGAAGTGGGTTTTGATTTGGGTGTTAGTTTTGAACAATGAGACAACAAATGTGGAACGTTGAGCATTTTGATGTAATTATGTGAATTTTCTATGACTCTATGAGTAAATTTGAGGGAAAAAAAGTTATTATGAAAATTTTGGAATGAGATGAGGAGATGAGAACTAATGAGCCTTGTTGATGAAAGAGCGCAAAGAAGAACACCAAAGACGTGATGCAACTCCTTCGAAGTTTCCTACGACGAGTAATACGCAGCAGAATGTAGATGAAGCTCTAAATGGAGAGCTGACTTGAAGAAAAACTAAAAAATAGAGAGTGAACTTGCAGAAAACCTTAAAACCCTAAGTTAAACTATGGAAAACCCTAGAACGGTGAGGAATCACTAAATGGACCGATTAATCGATGTAAATCAAAGATTAATCAATGGAAATCAAAGATCAATCGATGGAAAAGTGGTTTAAACGATGAAAAATGATTAAAACAAGGTTTTAATCAGTCAAAATCAAAGGTAAAGTGAAAATGAAGAAGAAACCCTAAGTTTGGGTTAAGGTGTTCGGTGAAAGTGGAAGAAGATATGAAGAAGATGTTGTTTATGGTAAAGAAATGACACTTACAGCAAATAAGGAGGTGCTCGAGAGGAAAACCGAATGTGAGGTTTCTGAGATGTGGAAAATGAGATGTGGTTCTGCGAGAGTGAACTGAAAATGAGGATGTGGCGAGGTACGGGCCCTTGACAAGAGAAAAAGGAGGACGCGTGGCTAAGGAGCGCTGACGCCACTGGTTTGAAGCGGATTAGAGCAATGGTGATGTTGTGTGGATGAGAGAGAAGCACAAAGGAAAATGGAGAAATGAAAGTGGAGGAAAGTGTGCTTGGAAGGTGGCTAGAGGAATTCCTTGGACTCTCTAGCCACTTTCAAGAAAGAATTAATTCTAATTTCAGAAGTCTAATTCTCATTATGCTCAAAAGTGAAAAATATAAGAAAGGAACTGGGTATTTATAGTAACCCATGCTCCTTGCAAGCTAAGATACATATACAATGAAATGTAAAATTACACAAAGAGGACACTGAGAAAGGTACGTCAGGTAGGATTCCATCACTTGTGTAAATATGTTATGTGATGTTTTTAATAGTTGAATTGAGATATGAAATTTTAGATCATAGAAGGTTATGAAATAGGTGTGATTTGTGTGCATGAAAATTTTAGACACATAAATGAGAATGAGTGAGATATTTGGCACCTTATAGTTGTAGCCTTAAGATATGAAAATTTAAGGAAAATGGGTTGTATGATATCGTCGGGCGCACTGCCCTTATCGTTGGACACTATTGATAGATTTTGGGAAAGACTAGGCTTTGACTTGTTACCGCTAGGTGGCAGTCTTAACTTTAAAATTTGAAAATGAATCATCTTAAATACTAGTTTGAAGTACTTTGGGGAGAAGGTGAGATTATATTGACTCGACTAGTGTCTAACTCACATATAGTAGGACATCTAGATGGTGTGAGTTGGAGGAGGCTCTATATGATAGACAGTGTCGTATAAAAAGGATATACTTATGGAGCTAATGTGGTTAACTCTATCATGGATTGGTTTGGGGACATTGGTATTGAATGTTGTAACATCAATGAAGGATTTGGTAGCAAGCATGACTGGTGTAGAGTTTCACGAATCTTTTCAAAACACTAGTCTTCTAGAAGATTATATCGGTATATTTATTGGAGTTAAAGATGATGAGAAAATTGAGAATAAAAATGAATGTATCTTATGAAAATTATTTGTTTGAATTACTTCTTTTTTCCCTGTTTGATATTTAAATTCTACTCATATCTTTTACAATAAATGTATTCCTTTCCTATACTTCTTTTAAATGCATTAGCTCACCCTAATATTTTGTTGGTATGTTGTTTTAGGCTTATCCCCAGTAATGATTATATATAAAATATGTGAGCTATAATAGGTATAGATAGACTAGTAGCTCTAGAGCTAGGTCAGAGTCTTGACTAAACATTATTAGTTTAATTAGGAATATTTTCTTAACTTTTGGAATGAATGTATCTAGGAAACATTCCATCTTTTAATAACCTCTAAACAATTAGGATGATTATTTTTTTAATGATATTGAATTATAATTAGTATTGCGTTTACCAAGTCGAGGACACCTTGTGAAAACTCTTCAAACTCCTTCTAGTAAAAACTCATCACTCTTCAAACTGAAATGTTCTAACTCAATGCCTCTCCAAGAGAAAAAGGGAGTGTTTTTACAGATGACACTATGATGCCAAAGTTAGTCGGGTGCGCCAAATAATAATTAATGTTATAATAATGAATGTAAATTATTTACTGTGATGGTTGTATTATTTATAGGGTAATTATGACATTTATGAGCCCTCATCTATAAGGGCCTGGGTAGGCCCAATGACGCATTTACCTCATGAGTCAATTGTTTGATCTAGATTCTACTAAGTTACAAAGTAGTAGATCATTAGCTTTGTCAGTCCAAAAGGCAGTTCGACAGACCAACTTATGGCTGGGTAGTGGTGGTCATACAGGCCAACTTGTGTCCAGGTAGAAGCAATCAGATATTGTATTAACAAGTTTGCCTTGTGGTTGGATAGATCAGCATTAACTTTGGTAAGCGGCACATGGAACTAGTAAGAAGCGCGCAATCCTTGGCAGGTGACACCTAGTTATCGGCATATGACATCAAGTCCTAGTTGGCAACACATAGTCCTTAGTAAGTGGTACATGACACTCAGCGGGTAGCACGTAACCTTGGGCAGGTAGTACTCGACCTTCGGCATGCGACACATGACCTTTAGCAGAGGGAAAGGATTTAGAGAGTGTGTAATATTTAATAACCAAGAGGGGAAGGGTAAATTGGTTCTTTTTAAGACTTATGATTTTCTTTTAGAACTTTCGTCGAACAGTTTAAGTGCTAAAGTTACAGAGTCAAAGAAAATCAACACAAATGATTTTATCCTGGTTTGAATCAAAAGATTCTACGTTTAATTGTTAATCACTATAAAGAGTGATTAACCTTTTCCACTAAAATATTGTTTCAGATTACAAACAGATTAATATAAAGATTAAAAGACAGAGAACACATTCCTTCGACAAACGATGGAAGAACCTATAGCTCAATCAACTTGAAGAGAACCGCTTCGACTTTAGACAAGCTAAATGCAAGCTTCTCTCATTCATAAGACTTGATATGAGCACTCTAAGACTTGAGAACTTCCTCAGAACTTTTATGTATTCTCAAATGGCTTAGTCTTTTCACACAACTTTAATACTCTCAAATGAAAAGTTACTCTTTAAGAGTTGTGGAGAACTCTATTTATAAGCCAAGGTTTGTGCAGAGTTAGAAACTGAAAAGGTAACTCCCAACTGCCAGTAATAACCGATTATCAAAAGTGATAATCGATTATTTTAGGCCATTATGGATTTTGAAAGACGTGATAATCGATTATCCTAATTGATAATCGATTATTGTCACACCCTGGACAATATCAAACCAAGCAATGATAATTGATTATACCCTGTGATAATCGATTATTTGCGCGAGTAACCCTTTTTCTATTTTAGTTTGTGTTAATCGATCATCCCCTATGATAATCGATTATTCACGCACTAAATCACTAAATTAAGAAACCTTCTAAGTACTTACAAAAGTAAAATGATTCCTATATAAATTGTTTCTATATTGAATGTTTTAAACATTTACAAAAGGTTCTTCAAGTCTTCAAGTCTTCACTTGTATCATCATCAAAATTACTTCAAAGCAACAATGTTATCCATTGGTAACAAAGTTGTGTGATATGCCTTGTTCATGACAAAAATTCTCAAAGTTTTCATTCTGGAACTCTTTCTCATGATCACTTCCAATAGCCTTAATCCTAAGATCTTTTTCATTCTAGATAACAGAGGCAAACTCTTAAAAGTTTTAAAGGTATCACTCTTAGATGCAAGATAGAAAGTTCAAGTGAACCTAGAATAATCATCTACAATGATCGGACCATAAAGATTTCCTCCTAGACTTTTGATTCTTGAAGGGCCACACAGATCCATGTGTAAAAGCTCAAGAGGTCTAGTAGTAGATACCATCCTTTTGGATTTGGAAGATGATCTAGTTTGTTTTCCCTTTTGACAAGCATCACAAAGTCTGTCAGATTCATTGGCAACCCAAACACAAGACCTCTAGATGCAAGTTTACTTAAATAAGGCATGTGAATGTGTGCAAGTCTTTTGTGCCACAACCAAGGTTCATCTTCTTTAAACAACAAACATATAACAGATTTAGAGGAAGTCTCACTAAAATCAACCATTTATATGTTGTTAAGCCTTTTTTCATTTAACA